ATATCCGGGGGGGATTGGTTCACCAAGGAAACAATCGCCCAAATCTCGGGATCAAAGACCAAGCTTTAATCCGGAGTACGCCTGCGTAGATCTGAGATCCGGTCCTCTCGAACTCTTGCCTTATTTGGCGTTGACGATCGCCGAGCACCAGATCTGGATGTTCAAGTCCTCGAAGTCCTAAAGTTTGAATCTTTTTTTAGATCTGAGTCTTCAATCCAGCAGGGCTTCGCCTCCAAAAAATCCAACCCTTTGAAAAATGAACCAATGGGGCCTGTTTATAGGCTCTCTGAACTGTGCCCGCGCACAGATCTGGGTCGGCCACCTATGGGTGGCCGGCACTGGGCCGAGCCACCTATGGGTGGCTCGGGCTTGGCCGAGCCCCCCTTAGGCGTTGGGTTTCGTGGTTTTCCATCGTTTTCCGTTTTTCGGTTCAGTCCGTGATCCGGTTCTGTGGTTGATTAGACTCTGATTCGTTGACCTGATTTGGCAGTAGATCCGATTCCTGATTTGGCAGTAAATCCACTTCTGAGTTCGAGTCCGAAACTGATCTTGATTCGATCGTGATTCGTCCGAGTCTACCCTTGGTTGGATGACTCGTTGACTCTTCGAACCCTTGGCTTGATTCCACACGCGAATGGATGTATTCCGTTGCTTGCGTGCGATTCGTTAACCTCGTCGCCTCGTTGGTTCATCGGTTTGTGCCGAGCTGTGCTAAGGGACCTATAAGCAATTTTATACGCCTACACCAGCGGGTCCCGGCGAGGGACGGGATGTCGGGCGAGGAGGAGTGGGTTATTGTTTATGGGTATTATGATTTATTTCTGCTCTTTACTGAGTAATGCTTGAAAATTAAACATCTATTGTTAAGAGCTCGTGTTGCTTTACTGAGTAATGCTTGAAAATTAAACATCTATTGTTAAGAGCTCGTGTTGCTACTTCCTAAAGTTTACATTTTTATTGTCAAAGTTGTATATCATCTATTGTTAAGAGCTCGTGTTGCTACTTCCTAAAGTTTACATTTTTATTGTCAAAGTTGTATATTGCCGTTACAAAACACATTATTCAAACAATATGGTTCTACCTTTTGTATTATTATTTCATAGCAATAGGACAATGTCACAATATGTTGCCTTAGTTAGTGATGATAGATTCACTTATTGATAATGTTCTACCGATTACCTTCTAACTAGATAAACTAATGCCTTTCAGTTTTGGATTAGATCCTTTATTTAAGTAATATTAGGTTAGAAATATGATTTGTTTCACATACTCCATCAAATCACCTACTATACTGGTTAGTAATTTTAGTCCTTCTTCTTATCCGTCTTTACTACTACTGATTTCAATAAGCTCAGTTTGATGATGATGGCTTTTCATAGAGCAAAACTTTGTTGTCTTGTGTAGAGAAGCGGATTGATAATTTGATAATTGATGTGATTCTTTTGTTGTCTTTTTAGAATTGCCACATAGTATCAGTAGTATCTTGGTGCACGCGATGCACACTTGACTCGAAAAATAGGTGATTTGTTAGTGTTTTTTTTTTCTTTTTCGTTTGGGGTTTTCCCAAATATGTGGGCATTGGTTTGGTTTTTCCAATTGTGAGAACATTTCCATTGGCAATGCATTTCACTTCAATATTTTTGTTCTTTCTTATGCTTATATAGAGTATGTGAAAGTTGTATTTTATTTAACTAATTGAGTACTTATTATGTCGTATTCTTATGGTTTGATGATGTTCTTAAATTGTAATCTTATACAATTTTCTTACACTGACTTTATTTGATTTAGGTATTATATTGTCTCTTATTTTCGTCAGGTGGATGTCATACACCCCTTATATGATAGGTATTATATTTTCTTTGTTTTTTGACATTTTACTTTTATTTTACCAATTTCTTTGGAAAGTTATCAACGGCTTAAATATTGATATGACTCGTACAAAATGTTCAAATATTATTTTCCTATGTTTACATTTTTCCATTTTTTTAAGTTTTCCTATTTTTGGTACTTTTTTGACATTTCACTTTAATTTTGACTTTTTCTACCTTCTAAATAATAAAATAACTCCCACCATATTTCTTAATACCGTTTTTACACATTTATATTTTTTAAACTATATACGATCTTAAACTGATTCAAGTTTTTCAAACTTTCTAATTTTTCAAACTATATATGCAACTTAGGTTATATCATTTCTGACTACTTATATATTATTACTGTTTTATTTTGCATTCTTTTACTACATCAATTTTTATATGTTAAACAAATCCGTGCATCGCACGGGCCTGAAACTAGTTTTTATAAATGGTGGACATATCATCCTTTTCAATTGTAATAATTGAAAGGATAACGTCAGAATTTTATAAGAAATGACTATCTTGGACATCATATAATGGCCCGAGTGAGGGTAAACAGTAATTTTCAAGAATCGTGAGGAATTCATCCGTTCTGTTGCTATCACAAGGGTGTAAAGGTAAACTTCTTCTAAACATTTTTATGTTCTACTAGCATTATTGCACGTGGAAATGTAGATGAAAAAAAAAAAAAAAAGTTTAGTGTCCTAAGGTTCATTAATTTGTTATTTTTATTTTGACATCTTAAAATTTAAATTAATCTAAAAAATAATGTTCTTACAAAATGTGAGATCCCAAAATGAAGTTATTAGAACACGAGAAAGTTGCAATAAATTTTACTAAACAAATCAATCACTAGAAGTGTTATTTGGACTTTCTTGAAAAACTATTCCGCTGAAAAAATTAAAACGCCGTTAGAGGATTTCTTGAAAAAAAAAGGTGCTTTTCCATATATAAATTGTGAACAGTGGAGAAGGAAGAGATTTAAAATGGTCAAGGGCCTGTTCGTTTGTTTTCAAAAAAGCAAGAAATGGAAATGGAAATAGTGGAAATATCAAAATAACCCATTTCTTCCATTTCCATCCCTAAAACTCACCCACAACATCCAATAAAATATTATTTTCATCCAACAACTTATCCACATCATCTAATAAAATATTATTTTCATCTAACCACTCATCCACCACATCTAATAAAATATTATTTTCATCTAACAATTCATCAATCACATCTAATAAAATATTATTTTCATCCAAACATCACTCAACTCATCTCTTTTTATTATTTCAAATCACTCACATCATCGAATAAAATATTATAACAATTCACATCATCTCATTAACATTTCATTTCTTCCATTTCATCCCAAAAAGTTGTGAAAACACATTTCTTAATCTTTCTTCACATCAACCAATAATACAATGACAACTCATCTCATCTCATTTCATTTCTTATTTTTAAGAATGAACCGAACAAAAGAAAACAAGAAAACTACAGGAAATAGGTTTCTTATAATTCATTTCCTTATTTTTTTCGCCAACCGAACAACATCAAAACTAGTTTTCTTAAAAAATCACTCACATCATCCAATAATAATGTGACAACTCATCTCATCTCCATTTCTTTGATTTCCTTTTTTTTTAGCCAACCGAACACTCCAAAACAATTCTTCATTTTCCATTTCTTTGATTTCCCATTTTTTTAAGGCAAACGAACAGGCCCTAAGAGGAAGGACAGGGCTTGAAAGACAAATTACTGGTGAATAAAAAGAACAAAGCATTTTTTGCCGGTATAAAGCCATAATTCACTTTTAGATGGTCCACTATCATTTTTTTTTGATGGAAAATAAGGCAGTAAGTCCTATCATGAATCTATTAAAAACTGTATTGTAAAACTTACAACAGTAGTTATCTGCCGATGATTTAGGTACCAGCTCCGATATGGAAAAAAAGCTGAATCATGGGAAGAAAACTATTTGCTAAAAACATAAACCAAAACATGCAAAATAAGACATAAGGAGAAAAACGAGAAGAAAGGTAGCCTGAACTAAACAAAAGGCCATCTATGACAGAAGACTGAGGCACTCCCGTCATGGGAGCCCGTTGCTGCCTTCATTCGATTCCAGAATAGCTGACAGCCCAAAGGAGCGAATGATATGCTTCATCTTGACCGACTCCTTTGAAGAGGAGACACCTGACCAGAAAATTAGAAAATTTATAGCTTTGGAGATGATTTGCTGAGGAGTAAGAATCTGATTAGAAAAAATGCGGTCATTTCTTGCTTTCCAGGTGACCCAACAAATAGTCGAGAAGCTGATGCCCCAAAGGAGACGGATTGATTGTTGGATAGACTTGTCAGAGCAAATGGCAAGGCACAGATTGATGGTCCACTATCATTTTGTATATAATCTTTTATATACTTTCCTATAAACTCTGAAGAATTAATTTACATGAGAAACACCTTTTAAATTAGATTTCTTTCAAATTAAGTTTGAACGTCACATGACATTTCGCATTTTAACTTGAGAATTTGAATTTGAAAACAATTCATACTTATATCTATCACTGTATCCAATACATTGCTAATTTTCATTCCTTAATTTCAAGTCTTGGAAAGTCCAGAAACCAAATAAGGGTAAATTCATATCTCACTCATTCTCTATCATCTAGAAAGTCCAATGGACAAAAAAATAAAATAAAAATAATATTAAAAAAAAATCAAGAACATAGATGTTCTTAAACTCAAGAAAAAAGAAAAAAGAAAAAAGAAAAGTAAGAAACTTTTTTTTTTTTTTGCAAAGAAGAAGGCTCACAAACTCTCCAGAACCTACAAATATCTTTAAAAAAAGAAACTACAGATTAAACAGATTCAAAGCTCGGAGGTTTCATGCTAATCAGTAATCCCTTCAGATTCCCTTGAAAATTCAATCATTTGTATTAATAAATTAATACTGGCCTGTGGACCCCAGTCTACCACCTTCTAGAGAACGTGGCACTTCCAGCGCCTTCTCACGTCTACTCGTCACCAGGGCGCTTCGCCACGTGTCCCTCACCCTGTCTTTTTTCGCCACGTCAGACTTTTCTCTCACACCCTTACCTCCTACAAAAACGAATGAATCCTCAAACTGAGGACAAAATCTGAAGCATCACCAAATCCAATCCCAGCAAATTAAATTTTATGTGCTCAGGAGCAGCTGTTCTTGTTCCCTGTGAAATATGATCATGGCTTCAAGGGCTATTGTAAGTGAACTACTAATAAGAATATATAATAATAAGAGTATAGTTATATATGTTGTTAGATAGATTTTTATTTACTATAAATTTCTCTCTCTAGTTGATTTTGGTGGTGGATTTTTAGAAACTATGGAGGTCCTTTGCTCGTCCTGCCGCCGCGAACCGCGGATTTGCGACGGCGACGGAGCCGAGGATGAAGGCGTATTGGCCCACGGCTAGTTTTTTGAGCCATGGAGAGCAGCATGCAAGCAAGTCCAAGTATGTGTTCTGTTTGGATGTGCTGTTGTTTCCTTTACTTTGATGAAGTATCGTTTAGACCGTAAAATTCCAAAAGTTGCTGGGGGCTTAGTGCAATTTTGAACTTTAACGGGGGTTTACTGTAAGGGCCTGTTTGGTTGGCTAAAACATTCAACACACCCATGTGAAGCTGTTTGATTTACTTTTTTCGAAGAAGAAAAATATTGTGTATGTGGGACCTACCCACTAGTTAAGGACGCGTTTGGTTGCGTTAAAGAGGCGTTGAAATGGACAGAAAGTCTGTCAAAACTGACAGTTTTGACAGGCTTTCATGTAAAAACGTCACTAAAAGGGACGTTTTTGCAAGAAAGCTTATCAAAACGGTTAGTTTTTATCAATTTTGACAGGCTTTTTCAAGTCATCTTCAGAAACCAAACGGGCCCTAATAGTGTCGTGAGTTTTAAATTTAAGGAATACAATTTACTCCCAAAAAAGCAACTAACATGAATTTGTTTTATTTATTTTTAAATAGCAAGGCGGAGTTTGTACCTGTGTACGTAGCTCTAGGCCTAATCGCGTTGTCAGTCTCCCTCGGTCTGTTCACCGCGGAGCACCAGATCGCACACAACCCTTCAGTCCGAGTCAGCAAGAAGCGGCGTGAGGAGATACCCGAGATAACGGATCCGGATCGGGTCGTAAGCGAATCCGACCAGCTCCTTAACAGGTCTTTGTTTCGCAAAGTGGC